AGGGTCCCTTCTGTAATCCACCACAAAGGTAAAACCAGTCGGGGCGTTGCTTGTTTTTTTTGTCTTGGGGGTTGTGGTTTTCAGGTTTGTCCCTGCGCTTTTGTGCATTCTCCTGTTTTTGTTTGCCCTTTGCTCCCTGGAGGGGGAGGCGGGGGCGGTGCTGGGGCGTCTCCCTTGAGGGGTGGGGTGCGGTGCAAGGTGGGAGACCGAGCGCATTTTTGTTCTTCTCTCTCCACTGGGAGCCATGAAGGATTGTCACCACGGCCAAACGCCCTCGAATCGGCTTGCTGCTAAGTTTCGAGAGGTGGAGCGTGTGTGGTAACCACACACGCTCCACCTCTTGAGCAATCACACAGTGTGGTTGCTCTTTCCGTGGCCGCTTGTCCAGACAGCCACCGATAAGATAACGCATTCTTTTTCCGTCGCAGTGCCTTGCGCTGCCAAGCGCCCGTGAGCGTGCTGTCTGGACATCGTGCAAAGTGTTTCTGGTGTGCATGATCCCACACATTCCGCTTTGTCTTAACACGCCCAGGACATTCAATCTAGAAAGGGCGGATTGATTCGTCTTCGGGGACCAATTGGCACTTGACACAACGGCCAAGCGCCAACGAGGAGGCGTTCTGATGCGTAAACGCGGGAATTTGATGCAGCTTCCCTTGTTTTCGGAGTTGTCTCACTGCCTTCAACGGTGCAACAGTTGGAGGCCGACCTTGCAAAAGGGGAGGGTCCCTTCTGACAACCAGTGTCAGACTTCCTCATAATTTGGGAACAACGGGGTGACATTGCTCGCTTTCGCTTGTGCTGTTGCAGTTGAAGCCAGAAAAGACAGAGCGGCGCGCGACAGGTCGAAGCCCAATCAGGAAACGAGATTGGTGCCTTTGGCGATCAAGTGGCTCACGGACCGTCCCGTCATTCTTACAGATACGCTACACGTCGCAGGCGAAAAGTTCGAGGAGGAATGCGCGACTGGGTTGTGCACGAGAAAAAAGGTGCACGTCGATGGCAAGTTCGCTTGGATCAAGCCGTCATTTTCCAAAGTGTTCTACCACGCCGTGCCGAGTCGCTTTCCCAGTGGAAAATCCTGAAAGCAAGAGTTTGGGTTACACGCGGGACACAACTCAGAGTCCGTTGTTGGCACGAAATGCGCAACTACGAAGGCATCAATAAGGTCGTTGACAACAAAATATTTCGAGACCGTGTCCATTTTGCGCAATGATGCTATTGCAACCGCGGGTGGGATTGGTGGGCGTCGACAAGCGACGCGTTTCATGACATATTAAGGAATCACGCCTTGCATGATATCGGCTTCCACATACTTAGTGTAGCGCTACAGGTCGCCTTTCTTGCGTTCCATGTGCTTTGCGTTGTAACGCGACGGCGCTGCCAATTTCTGCAGCGTGAAACCGGATGGTGCGTCGCGCGTTTTCTCTCTGTCACCACCAGCGTTGGACATGTGTGTGTATTCTTGCTGGTCTGCTATATTGTGGACGTGTAAGTGGCCGATGGAGTCAAACGGCCCATGCGTGGAATGGAGAGAGAAAGTCGTGATTGGGTGTTATACAGAATTTTAACCTAGCGCAGCAACGCAACACACAATCCATTAACGGCGCCACGAACAACAACGAGAACCGTCCATCGTCCATCCCTTGCAAGTGCGTTGGCGGCTGGGTGCCCGGGTGGAAGTTGCCATACATTCTTGTTCATATATTTTTATTGGGCCCGGGACGCCGGAATAAAAACGCCCCCCGCCCCCCCGAACGAATTTGGCCATGCCCGGGCCTCCAAGCAACCCTCCAGACGACCAGGGGAAACCTCACGAGAGCCCGAAGACGGCCCAGGACGGGTTCCAGGCGTTCCAGCTTGCCCCCGAAACGACCCCAGAGAGCCCCTATACGGTCCACGACGACCCCCAAAAAGGCGTCATACGCTGAAAGATCGTTCCAACACATCCCGAAACAAAACCTTCAAGAACACTCCCAAGAAGGCCCCAAGAGGCAAATATCATTGATTTTCGGTTGGGTATTGGTGATTTGGCGGCTCGCCTTTTTAGGCGTCCCGACGCTCAAAGACGGCGGTCTTGTTGTGCGTCCGAAGCCGCTTGGGAGGCTCCAGTGTTTATATATATATATACACATACATACATACATACATACATACATACAAACAAACAAACATACATACATATATATATATATATATATGCAGATGTATGTACATATATATATATATGTATATGTATATGTATGTGTGTAGTGCAACGTATGTTGTGACCGATCAGAAGGCGCGCCGCGTGCGTGAACGACAGACACCGTACAAGGTCAGTGCTGCAATTTCTATGGGGCGACCCATGTGTTGCAATCTTCCTTGCGCAGCCTACGGTGTGCAACTTGCGTGGTGTAACTTATGTGGTTATTCAGCCTTTGCGGCCCATCCATTTTTTTGCGCAGTCTATGGGGTGCAACTTGTGCTGTGGGCGAGCAAAGGGCGCGTCGCAGGTGCGATTTCTTGTTCGTGCGATCTACGTGGTGCAATCCAATGGCGGCGCTGGGAAGCGTCGAGGCGGCGGCGCGGCGGCGACGACGGGACCATTGCCGCCAGACCGCTCACGCGGCCCAAACGACCAGCGGCGACGAGGCGTCGGCGGGGCGGCGACGGCCGGAACATCGCTGAGAGACCGCCCGCGCGGCCCATTTTTTTGGACACGCTGTTTGGGGAATGTCCTCCACAGGGGATTTTGGGGAATGTCCTACACATGGGATTTTTTGGGGACCTGAGGGCATCCCACTGCATGCTTCAGGGCACGATCGTGGATGACGCATTGCGGTCGTATTCCTGTAGCTTTTGTTTTCAAGCCCCTTGTGTTCGGTCGTCGCTTTGAACAAAGCAGTTCTCGCAGAAGAAAGCTTTCTCCATCCATTCGCCTCCTAGCTCGTCCTTCTGTTTCCTTCTCCTGCGTCTTGTGCGCTTTACTTGGGGTTGCAAACTGCGGAATTGTCGTCGCCCTCGTGAGCGCATGGGAGGCTAGCAGGCCGTGGGATGTGCGATTTCATGGCCCCATGGGAAGTTGTCAGCGACGCATCAGTCGCCATCAGCGGGGGCGGTTGTCAGGTGAAAACTAGCGGCTCCTTGGGAGCCCATCGATTGCGCAATTGTTGCAAATTTCGTGGGCTTCCGGCAGGTCCAGCGGAGGCGGTGGGCAGGCGAGACCTCGCGTTTGCGTGGGAGGCTGCGAGCTGCGCAGCCTCCGCCGGTTTCGCGGGTTGTTGTGAAGTCCAGAGTTGTAGATTGGCATCGCAGCGTGTTGTTTTGCATGGGGCGTTCAAATTTACACCCGTCTCGCGTGAATGGAGTTGGGTACGTTTTGGATGAATCTTGGGAGCGTCGTGGGGATGGTTCATGTCGGATCAGGGATCTGGCATGAACCTTTTCGTTTCTGCTCTTCTGTGGTCCTTGCAGCATCTCTGGTCATTTCCCTGTCGGGTGGCGTCGACTCCATGGTATCCGAAGGGCTGCGCCATCTGCCGCCAGCCCGTCGGGCCGAGCCACGGTGGGAGCCACGGTGGGCCTCCCCCCCTCGGAAGCCGGCCCGCAAGTGTGGCGTATCGGGGTCGATGCAAACGTAACCTATCGGGGGCGTTGATCAGGAGGGAAAGAAACACACAGACACAATTAATCGTCGACTCCCAGGAAAATATGCAAAAATATGGGAAGTGGTGGGGAAGACAAAAACCCAGAAAATATGGGAAAATATGGGGGATATTTTTATTTGTGTGTATTTATTTGTGTGTTCCAGTTCCCCTTCAGTTGAGGGCCCTCGTGGAGGCCATCGATCAACCACGAGGCGGCAACTGAGCCCGCCCCCCGTCGGGTCCCGAAACACTGTCTCTTGTGACGCTCCGGGAGCACTCGGTCCGTCTTGGGACCCTCTCGGGGATCTCTGAGGTTTCAGTGGCCAGTCGAGAGGAAAACAGGTGGCACTTCCAACACGACACTGGTCTCCCTCATGTCTTGGAAGGTATTTGATCCGTCCTTGGGTATATTGGAAGCATGTTGGAGGTTATGTTGAGTTATCTCGTAGGCTATATTTTTCCATCTTGGAGGCCATCATTGGCTCTCGAGGGCCATCTTGGAGCCATCTGGTGACACCTAGGCCGCCCTAGCCCCTCGCGACACTCTCCTTCCAGACCCAGGGGAAGGGGGTAGGGGGAGGGGTCAAGTTCTCAACGGGGTACGCCACAAGCTGCCTCGCTCACTCCCGCTCCCACGATGTAAGTGGCACCAGAGACCTCCAATCTTGGAATATCTAGGGGCCTCTGGTAGTGTGGACTTTGGGGGCCATCCTGGTGCCAACTTGTGGCTCCCAGAGGCAACACACATTTCGAGAGGAAAGCAGACTACGAACAGACAGCTCAGAAACACGTTCGGGTTTGTGTTGAAAGAGGCCACATTGGGCTCTTAGAGACCAATTTGGTCCCTCTGCAGGGGCTTCTGGGGTTCCCTTGTGCCCTCTAGTCCGTCTGGTGACGTCCCCATGCAAATCCTGAGGCCACCTGGGGCGGTTGAGGCACAGACCCTGATGTGGCTTTCCTGGCGCCGCGGCCACCCCTAGGCGACGATACAGGGAAACGACGTGTCGGAGAGAGGTTGAGACACATACATCATTCCAATGAGGGCAGCCCCCCCGCCCTCCAGCCAGGACCACTCCCGACCTGGTGATTCAGGGGGTCCTGGCTGGGGATGAAATTGCTGTTTGGCCCCCGAGGTCTTCGAAAACCACCCCCCGCCCCCAGCCAGGGCCCTGTGGATCACCATGTCTGGAGTGGGGGTCCTGTCTGGGTGTGGGGGTGGGCTGTGCCCATACAACAGGCGCCAGCTGGGAGTGGGGGTACAGGCTGGGTCGGGAGGATGGTGGGCTGTGCTGTCCTCGTACAACAAGCGCCAGCAAGACAGCCGTGCATCAGGGATTCTCACGTTCTGGTGCCTCCCAAGGGGGCCGGCAGCTTGGCTTTCTGCCTGCGTGCGCTGATGCCCTCGATGGGGCTGGACCTGTCCGCAGTGCACGTCGATTACGGCTTACGCGAGGTCAGCAGCCAAGATCGGAGAAGAAACATTTGCATGACGATAACGTTCGGAGCTCCGCTGGATTTCTTGGACCGGCGCCAGACCCCTCTGGCGGCGCCTCCATCGCCGACCCAGGCACGCTCCGCGCGCCAGGGAGCGGGGTCAAGCGCCGATCGAGGAAGTCCGCGCAGACGTGCGAGAGTTTGTGCCTGTGCTGTGTTTTCTTCTCCTGCGAGAGGCACGCTTCGTCCTAGCCTGGGCCAGCGAGGCGGGTTTTCCATGCTACCTGGTGCAGCTGAGCCACGACGGGGAGGAGCGAAGACATGACTTCGAGGCGCGGTCACGCCGTGCAAGGTATGATGCGTACAGGAGAGCGGTATCGATGCACAGTGCGGAAGCAGTCGTGATCGGGCACCACCGCGATGATGCAGCAGAGAACATATTGGATAATCTTGCAAGAGGGCGGAGCCTTTTCGATATCCCAGTGATGCCGCAGAAGGCCACGATCGAACACGTGCATTTCTGGCGTCCGATGGCCATGTTATCGAAACGAGAGATAAGGGCGTTTGCACACCGCCAGTCTGTCCCACATTTGCTCGACAATGATGAGCCTGGCTCATCGCGCGTCACGTGGCGGGAGAAGGTCTTCCCCGCACTTGAACAGGAGTTTGGACATCGCACCTTGCACAACATTTTTCGTGCTGGGTCCAACATGCTTGCATGGGGTACCATTGTGGACAGGTTTGTTATGAAACCTTTTCTTCGTGATGTCCGTCAGTATACGTATGGAGCGGTTGTGCCATTTGGCGAACATGGCAACTCGCCCCTTGCATTTTGGGAGGAAGCGTTGAAACACGTCATGCATGGTATGCGTACAGGAATGTTGAAAAGAGGCTCTTTGGATACACTTGTGAAGCGGTTGGGCAGATCGGAGCCTTCGTATTTACGATTGCATAAAGTTTTTGCTGTCTATATCGATCCGGGGCACCACCAAGTAGTCTTTATCGACTCACGCCTAATGTTGGAACGCGACCTTTCTGCAGAAGGTCGAGGCACGGTCGAACCATGGGAATTGGAGTTGACTTGGGAAGAGGCGAGCCATCAGGACAGATGGAACTTACCAGGACTTCTGTCAGGCAGTCTCGAAATTCCTGTATGCATGACTTCGCCGCCTCACCGACATCAACACCGCACTCAGTTTTCAAGTGATCTGCTGCCGCCTGCGGTACTCAGACGTTTGCCATCAGCAGCTGATTGCAGCGGGCTGCCTTCTCCAGATGCGGTAGCGGGCGATCATGGTGGACGGCATCTCGTACTCCGTATGACGGCCAGGTTGGATGACAAGGCAGCGCCAGACGGAAAAGAGCAAAATAGGGGAGCCTCGCTGCTGATAGTTCAGGCCTCCTGAGCCCTCTGGAGGTCTCCAGAGGTCTCTTCGGTGCTGCGCCCATGGGGGATGCAGAGGTGGCGGGCTTTTGTTTGTTCAGAAGGCTCAGAAGGCTTCTGGTCTTGTGGGCATCTTCCGAAGCCTTCTTCGAAGGCACAGCTTATCAGAAGGCCGGCGGGCTTCTGAGAGGCCCCCCCCGCATGCTGAGAAGGTCTGCCTCCTCGCGCTGATCTGAAGGTCTGCCCGAGGCGTGCCGCCAGTCTCTGAAGGCCTCTTGATTTCCCCGGGTGTCTTTGAGGTCCAGATGGGCCAACGCAGCACAGGGAGGGTTCGAGGCCTCCTAGATGGGGTCCGAGTAGATGGGGTCGGAGGATGGCGCCGTATCGGCGAAGCATCGACGATGCAACTCGACGTGGAGACCGTGCTTCCCCACGCCGACGTCGCCGACGCATCGCCGACGTCGCCGATGCATCGCCGGCGTATCGCCGATGCATCGCCGATGCGTCGCCGATGCATCGCCGATGTATCGGCGATGCGGCGCGATCTTCCGACCCCATCTACTCCGACCCCATCTCGGAGGCCTTGTCTGATGTTGCCTGAGGGGCGATGCGCCTGCAGCAGGCCAGGCCTAGGCCGTGCGAGAGGAAGTGTGCAAGCATGCCAATCGCGTGTGGGCTGTTTTCTCTGGCCTTCGACGTCTTCTACTTCTGTTGCGTGGGCACGCACATATGTCTCTCTCTCTATATGTGTGTGTGTTCATATGTATATCACTATGTATTTATATATACACACATATATATACATATTTATATATATATGTATACAACATGTATTTCTATATATCGTCATGTCGGTGCGGGTACTTTCAGCACTGTGTTAGATATGATGATAAACTGTCCCATAACATGATGCGTTTATGTGTGCACGTATATAGGTGTGGTGGTGTTTGCGCTGACTCTTCTGTCTCCCTTGGAAGGTTCCCAGGCCGCCGGGCCGCAGGACCTTTTAGAAACGACCCACGATGAGGACCTTACTTCCCTGAGGGGGTTGCGGGGCCCACAGAATTAACAAGTCACGACCTCAGATGTCTGGGCTTACGCGTGCTTCGGCAGACCGTTTGCAGCTCATTTGGACGAGGCCGACAAACCGCGGTGCCTTGACATCCCGTAGTGCTGCGTCACTGGCCATGTGCTGTGTCTTCTGGCTCAGAACAGCAGGTGGGAAGTGGTGTCAGGTGCGAGACGGGTGAAGGATGAGGACGTTAAGGGAAGCGAGCACACATGAGGACGATCAGGGAGGACGAGGAGATGGAGGAGTGGGAGGTAGTAGAAGGAGGGTCATGGTAACTCCAGGGTGTCGCAGTGCCCTCCGTTCCATGTCCCCGCGTGAGGCTGTAAAAGTATTCTGCTCCACTTGGGGAAGCACCCCCTCTCAATGACGACCTCCCAGGTAGCCTGCCACTCAGGCGAGGCCCCGTTTTGGCAAGGATCCACCCTCCATCCCCGTGGCTACGAGAAGCGCTGCAGTTAGGATGCAATAGCTTACGCAAGTGTCCAGCGGCAGCCTCGTTTTGAAAAGGCCTTGCGTTCTACTCGGGGCAATAGTTGCATTATTTCACGGGTGTGGTCTTTCGGTATCGTTTTAACCAATCCTCCCCATCCCCATCACCTTCGAGACCTCCACCAAATTACCACCTCAAACCGGGATACACGAAACCCGAAGGGAACGGCCTATATCCCCATCCAAGGGGGGAAATCGGCCAGTGGGGCCCAGGCCACGCCGCTGGGGATGGGGATCGGTTGCACGCCAGTCTTACAGCGGGTGGAAGTCTCACGCGGGACCTCCATTTTCGCTTAGGAGCAGCCCTCCACTCTCCGCAAGGTTTTCCCTCTTGGGAAGTCCCGGCTGCGACTTGTGAGAGCCCAGGAGACGGATGTGCGCGATGCCAGGGCCTCCAGGGCGAGAGCCCTGTTGTTGGAAGCCTCTGGGTGTCCATCCCTATAACTGTGGGAGGTTGCAGCTTCAGCGTTTCCAAGCTGTAGCGACCATAAGGGCAACACGCTCTGCCGGGCAACGAACGCGTCTGGCGTTTCGACGGGGGGGGATGTGGGGAGTGGGAGGACGAGGTGATGATGACGATGATGATGATGATGATGATGATGATGATGATGATGATGATGATGATGATGATGATGATGATGATGGTGATGGTGGTGGTGATGATGATGATGATGAGGAGGAGGAGGAGGAGGAGGAGGGGGCGGAAGGGAGATGAGGATGAGGAGCGAACGATGCTAATAAAGATGCTGATGATGATGCTGATGCTGATTGGTGGTGATGGTGATGGTGATGGTGGTAGTGATGATGATGCTGATGATGATGATGGTGATGGTGGTGGTAATGGTGGTGGTGATGACTACGATGCTGATGATGATGATGCTGGTGATGGTGGTGGTGGTGGTGATGATGACTGTGGTGGTGGTGATGTTTCTGATGATGATTGACGGTCATTGTGATGGTGATGGTGATGGTCGTTGTGGAGGTGGTGATGCTGCTGCTGCTGCTGAGGATGATGATCATGATGATGATGCTGATGGTGCTGATGCTGCTGGCGGCGATGATGATACTGATAATGTTGGTGGTGATGGTGATGGTGATGACGATGACGAAGATGATGCTGACAAGGCTAATGATGATGATGATGCTGATGAGGATGATGAGGATGCTGATGCTGATTCTGCTGATGATGATTATGATACTGATGGCGCTGATCACGTTGATGACGATGACGATGACGATGCTGATGATGCCAATGCTGCTGATGATGATAATGCTGATGCTGCTGACGATGACGATGCTGATGCTGCTGATGGTGGTGAGGATGATGACGATGAGGACTATTGTAAACGATGACGCTGATGATGATGAGGTTGATGATGATAGTGCTGATAGTGATGATGCTGTTGCTGATGATGTTGGTGAGTATGATGCTGGTGATGGCGATGTTTATGATGAGTATGATGTTGATGAGGCTGATGATGATGCTGCTGATGCTGCTGCTGATGATGCTCATACTGATGACGATGCTGATGCTGATGCTGATGCTGCTGCTGATGATGCTGATGGTAATGCTGATGATGCTGATGATGCTGCTGCTGATGCTGCTGCTGATGATGATGATGGTGGTGATGATGATGATGATGATGAGGAGGAGGAGGAGGAGGAGGAGGAGGAGGAGGAGGAGGAGGAGAAGGAGGAGGGGGAGGAGGAGGAGGAGGAGGAGGAGGAGAGAGGAGGAGGAGGAGGAGGAGGAGGCGGAATGGGGGAGAGGCGGAGGAGGGGAGGGAGAGGAGGAGGAGGAGGAGGAGGAGGAGGAGGAGGAGGAGGAGGAGGAGGAGGAGGAGGAGGAGAGGAGGAGGAGGAGGGAGGAGGAGGAGGAGAGGAGGAGGAGGAGCAGGAGCAGGAGCAGGAGCAGGAGGCAGGAGGAGGGAGGAGGAGGAGGAGGAGGAGGAGGAGGAGGAGAAGGAGAAGGAGGAGGAGGAGGAGGAGGAGAAGGCCGATGAGGTGGAGGAGGAGGAGGAGGAGGCGGAGGAGGAGGAGGAGGGGGAGGAAAAGGAGGAGGAGGAGGAGGAGGAGGAAAAGGAGGAGGAGCATGAGCTTGAGGAGGCCTCTTCTGCTCCGAGACTCCCAATATTACTTCTGGGACGCAGCGGGCGTTTGCCACCGCCTGCGCGCCGCTGGCGGGGTGGGCCAGGGAGATCCGCTGGCGCCGCCTTTTGCCTGCGGAATGCGACCCCGCCTGCGCGCCCGGGAGCAAGCTCTGCAAGCGGCCGCGGAGCAACGGGGTTTGGACCCCGGCGCCGTCCGCGTGCTTGCCTACCTGGGCGACGTCGTCGTGCTGGCGCCTGCGGGCTTCGCGGGCGACGTGCAGGCGGCGGCGCAGACGGCTCTGGCCGACCTCGGCTTGTCTGGAACCGCAGAAGACGCAGGCTTGGTTAGCGGCCGCAGCCTGCCCCCTCGGCCTGGAGGAGCAATGGCGCGCGGAGGGCTTGACCCTCGCGGGCGTGCCGCTTGGGGCCCCGTTGCCCGCGGGGGGACTACCCGACGAGAGCGGCGGGCGCCGCGTTGACCTGGGCTCGGCGAGCTACGCGAGGGCGCGCCGCGCGGAGACGGCAGGGCGAGCGGCGGAGCTCATCGCCAAGCTCGCGTCGCTCCCACCGGCGGCTTCGCCGCACCTGCCAGCGGCGCAAACAGCGGGGCTCTTGCTGCGCCACTGCGGCACCAGCAAGCTCACGCACCTTCTGCGGACGAGCCCGCTGGCTGCCTCGGAAGCCGCGGCTGCGGCCTACGATGAGGCCCTGCTGGCGGCTTACGAGCAACTCGCGGAGCTGGACCCGCTCGCGGAACCGCAGCGGGGCGCAGTGCCAGCTGCCCCTACGGGCAGGCGGGCGCGGCCTCCGCAGCCAACGGCAGGTGGCGCCAGCGGCCTGGGCCGCGTCCTGGGCGCAGAGCCTGAGCGGCGTCCGGGAGCGCGCTGGCTTCCCCTGCGTTAAGAACTTGGCAGCCTGCGGGCTCCCTCTCGCCACGCCGCGACGCGCTCGCCGGGCTCGCGCAGCCGGCGCCGCCGCCGCCCCGCCGGGGCGCGGAGCCGGCCGAGCTGCACACCTGGCAGGAGCTGGCTGGGACGCCATGGTATACCCGAAAGCTTCAGAAGGCCCTCGCCGCAAGGATAGACCACACAAGTTCTTCTTCCTTGCTGAGGGCCCTGGGGCCAAGGGAGAGCGCGCTCCTGCGCTCCTGCGGCGGACCGCACGCTTCCGGGTGGCAGACGGCTTCGCCCGGGCAGGCTCGCGAGCGGCTGGAAGACGCGGACTGCAAGGCCACTGCCCGCTGCCTCCTGGAGCAAGACGCAGCGCCGCCGGGGGCGACCTGCTGCAACCGCGCCCGGACGGGCGAGCGCCGGGCAACGCTGCGGCGCGCCGCTCTGCATGCGGGAAGGCCCGGCACGCCTGGCGCTGCCCGCGGGGCGGGGGCCTCAAGGCTCGCAGCGGGGACCTCGAGCGCGCCTGGCAGCACGTCCATGTGGAGTGCGGCCACCACGCTGTGCGCCAGGTACATGTCCCAGCCTGAGACCGCAGGGCATGGCGCTGCGCCAGCTGCGACGTGCGCGGGACTGCCCTGGCACGGCCGCCTGCAGTTTGCGCCACTTGCAGTGGCGGCCTGGCGGCGGAACGGGAAGAGGCCATCCTGGACCTCGAGGTGCAGCGGCCGGGCCAGCCGCGCACCTTCTTCGACGTGGCGGTCTGGTACAGCGTGCCGGCCGACGTCGACGCCGCCGCGGAGGCAGACAAACGCCGCCGCTACCCGGCGAGGAAGGCGCCCTGGCGGATGGTGCCTCTGGCGCTGGAGACAGCTGGCTGGCGCGGCCTGGCGGCTCTCCAGCACCTCCGCGGCCTCGCCCGGGAACGGGCGACGCAGCTGGCGGCGGGCGACGAGGCCGAGGCGGCGGCCCTCGCTGGACAGCTGGTGGGTGGGGGCAGGAGCCCAGTGTAGCTTTCCACCGGGCCACAGCCCGACAGCTGCGCTCCGCTAGGGGCGCGGAAAGCGCCAGGCGCGCAGCTGAATTGCGGGCTGCTGCGGCGGCCTAACTGCGCGGGGGGCGCTTCCGCTGGCCTTTCCTTCGCCAAATCCAACGTCGCGGTGCTGCCGAAGTTCAAGGGGGTAGAATAGTGTGTGTGTGTGTGTGTGTGTGTGTGTGTGTGCGTGTGTGTGTGTGTGTGTGTGTGTGTGTGTGTGTGTGTGTGTGTGTGTGTGTGTGTGTGTGT